TATGCTAAGTGAAATAAGTCAAGCAGAGAGAGTCAATTATCATATGGCTTCACTTATTTGTGAAATAGCGTGGAGGACAAGGGGAGTTAGAGAGGAGAAGGAAGTTGAGGGAAATTGGAAAGGGAGGTGAACCATGAGAGACTATGGACTCTGAAAAACAATCTGAGAGTTTCGAAGGGGGAGGGGTGGGAGGTTGGGGGAACCAGGTGGTGGGTATTAGAGAGGGCACAGATTGCATGGAGCACTGGGTATGGTACAAAAACAATGAATACTGTTATGCTGAAAAGAAATTAAAAAAATTAAAAAAAAGATCTGTTGCTTGCTCTATAGTTATATACACCAACAGTCATTTCCTGGGTCTGCTCATTGTCGTGGGGTTCTGTAAGATCCTGCTGTTAGAGGGAATTCATGAGGGGAGGATAAGAATTTTCTGTATTATTTTTGTGACTTTTTCATAAGTTTAAAATTTGTTAATAATTAAACATTGCAAAATAAGATATCACTCACTGTTGCACAAAACCTGTCACAATCTAGGAATTACTTTAAACAAGAACACACAAGAGCTGCATGGGGAAAAATTAAACCTCTATCAGATAAAAAACATGACAGATCATATGCATAAATGGGTGAAAAGAAAAGACAATATAAGAAAGATGTTCATTTCCCCCCCCAATTTAATTCATGCATGCAATGTAATCTTTGCAGAACTATCCAGCTGGATTTCTTGAGAAAGATGATAATAAACTTATTTCAAAATGTTTATGAAAAAAATTAAGACCCATGAATCGCGGAGGCGGTCTTGAAATGAAGAGTGAAAGGTGGTGGAGGGGTGGGGTAATTGCCTTCTGAGACACAGAGACATTCTACAGAGTCTTGGAAACAAAGCAGGGTAGGATTAGTGCAAGGGCAGACCGATGACCAGTGGTTCCGAATGCAGACCTCCAAAACAGAGTTGGCCATTTGTATATGGTTAAGGTCACACCACAGATCTTTTAGAAAGAAATGAATTGTTTAAGGGATGCTGTTGAGGAAAGTATCTCTCTGTACAAACAAAAACCAAAACTAGACTCTCACTATCCCAATGAAAAAAGAATCAAGATAGATTAGTAACATAATTGTGACAGATAAAAACAGAGCAAATGAGAGAAAGTGTAACAGGATCTTTGTGCTCTAAGAACAGAAAAGAAGTTCCTTAAACAGAAAAAAAAGCACAAACCTTAAATAAAAAATTTTACATCAGATTTATGAATCATTATTAACAAAGAGCATCATGGATAAAGTTAACAGATGACAGAGAACAGGAAGTTATTTGCTGTACAACCGAGCCTATACTTAACAATATGATAGTGTGCAATTAAAAACTTCTTAAGAATATAGACAACAATATTGAATTATAATCATCAAACTTGCTAAGAGATTAGATCCTCATTATTCCTAACACTAAAAAGAAGTAATTATTATGTGACCTGATAGAGGTGCTAACTATCACTCCAAGGGCAGTCATATACAATATATAAGCATACCAACTCAGCATGTTGTACACCTTAAATTGATACAAGTTATCTGTCAATATATTTCATTTTTATTTTTATATTATATATAATATATGTTATATATTCATTCATTCATTTCATCAATTTAGCCACATAAGGTACATCATTAGTTTTTGATGTAGTGTTCAATGATTCATTAGTTGCATATATTTCAATAAAAAGAACTTGCTAAGATGATAGATTTCTTTAATGTTATTAACACACACACCCACAGAGGAAGGGGACACAAGGTATCATTTGGAGCTGATGATACATTTATTACCTTGATTGTGGCGATGGTATCACAATTATGGGCACGTATGTCCAAACTCATAAAAATGTATACATTAAATATATGCAGATTTTTGTATATTATGTATACTTCAGTCAGACTGAAAAAAAAATCCACTGATAGAGCAGTATCTAGAATCTACAATGACAAAAAAGATAAATGAGAAAACCAAGGAGAAAAAAGACAGGATCATGATAGAAAGAGGGCAACAGAGGGGCACGGGAGATTTGCAGCTGAGGAAATGCAATAGGCAAGCAGCAAAGACATGAGCAGCTGATTAGCAACTAGAGGAATTCAATTTAAAACTGCAACACTCTCATGGTTCATCTCCCCATTTGATACAAACTGAGGGTTTTGGAGGGTAGGGGGGTGGGGTGTTAGGTGAACCTAGTGGTGGGTATTAAGGAGGGCATGTATTGCTTTGAGCACTGGGTATGGTGCAAAAACAATGACCCTTGGAACACCGAATAAACAAAATAAAAAAAAAAAGAGTCACACCATAAAAATAAATAAATAAATGAAACAGCAACACTCTGTGAACACAATGAATACAGGCATCCCCTCCCACCTGTTGGAGCAGCAAGACTTAGAAAGTTGGATTTGCTCTGTGTTGTCCCAGATGTGAGATAAGTGGACTACAGTGACTCTTGTGGTACTTGGTGGTTCATGGCCAAATTAAGGGGACACTTACCTGAAGTCCCAAAATCACTGCTCCTAGGTCTCCATCTGAAACTCCCACAGAGCTCAGTGAAGGGACGTGGTCAAGGCCATTCATTGCAGCATTGTCTGTGATGGCGGAGAGTTGGGGGGCAGTCTGAGAGACCCCCACAACCTGGGGCGTGAAGAAGTAACATGTGGTGAGCCTGAACCATGAAGCTCTAAACAACATGTAAGAAAGAAACAAATCTGATATCCACACAGCAATGTGGATGGCTCTTAAACCATAGCTTTGGGTGAAAAATTAGAAAAGAAGTATATATATATATACACACACATATATATATTCATATTTATACCTGTATCATTGATACATATATATCTCAATGATACATGCATATATATCTAAGACACACATATCTATCATATACATATATTGGGTACATTTGATGACAAGCTTTGAAGTATTTACCCAGGAGCAGAGCTCACCCCCATATTACAATCCTGCTTCCATCCTCCCCACTCCCTCCCCTGGAAGATTGTTATTAAGTGTCATCTCAGAACCACGGTGAGCCAGTGCTTGGAGGACCCAGAATCTGGTGGAAAATGGACAATTGGGCTGAGTGTCAGAATGGGGTCCCTCATGCAGGAAAGCAGCATTGGGCTACAGGGGCATGGGGCAGCCCAACAATTCCAGGGGTACCTGTCTCAACTCCCTTCTCTACCTCATCCCTTGGCCACCTCTCTGGCCCCTACTCCCAGCCTCTCTGTGCCATGGCTAGCCTTGGCTCTGGTCTCATTACCTGTCTCCTGGTGAACTGTGCCTGCCCACCTCCCCCTTTGACTCCAAATCTACACTGGCTTCCAGAGTCCATCCTCTGAGACACATGCACCTTGGGGAGTCATTCCAACCCACTTCAAATCCTGGATCCTCACCATGTGTTGGGATAACCAGAGAACTGCCCTCATGGGTTCTCTGTGGGGATTGGATGCCAAGTGATTAGCACAGAGAAAGTTCTCAAGGAATGCTAGCTGGCATTGTGGTCAATTTTTATCATCGTCTTTGAGCTGGCTGTCACTCACTCTTCTCTTCCAGGTAATGCATATTGGTGCCAACCCCTATTCTGGGGCACCCTATGTCTATACTGTGAATGCCCCCACCCTAGCACATACTCCTACTCCCTTGGGCAACCCACCTCTTCCCCTTTCTTGGCTACAAACAAGCCAACGTATGTGCTTCAAAATGTACAAATGGTACTAAAAAGGGGGTCTCTCTTGGCTCTGTGTATCTGTCTGGCACTTGTTCTGTCATCCTTCCCGGAACAGCCACTGTGCAATGCTCTCCATGGGAGGGGGGTCTCCAAGTGACCTGTCCAGGTATGATTTAAGGAAGGAGAAAGGCCAGGCCCTCATCCTAGCTATGGGCTCTCAGCCAGAACCCCAAGCCAGGGCACACTCGGGCTGGCCCCACATCCTGACCCTGTGCCCTTCCTTCCTCCTCAAGGGGACACTATTCTACTCATTCAGCTCTCTCTGCTTATGTACCTGTGTCAGAGACTCAAGACTGGGCTCCCAGGAGTATACGCAGACAGAGCTGAGCACTGCCACATAGATACACAGGTTCTGAAATACACACCGGCAGTGAACCCCAGGAGACACTCAGCCAGGAACAGAGACACTGTTGCTCATTCTGCACCCCTCTACTGAGCATGAACCAGGTGACTGGAGCTTGTACAGGACTGAGATAAGCCAGAGACATGCAAACAAGGGTACCATGGTGGGTTGAATAACATCCCCCTCCAATTCACGTCCACTGGAATGTCGGAACGTCACCTTATTTGGAAATAGGGTCTTTGCAGATGTAATCAAGGTAAGGATCAAGGTGAGATCATTCTGGATAAAGGTGGGTCCTAAATCCAATGACTGGTGTCCTCACAGGAATAGGAGGGGACACACAGACGGAAGCAGGCTTTGTAAAGACAGAGGCATGCCTCAGGCCACCAGAAGCTCAAAGAGATTAGGAAAGATTATCCCCTAGAGCCTTTGGAGGGAGCATGACCTGACCCTGCCAATACCTTGGTTTTAGACTCTAGCCTCCAGAACTGTGAGAGAATAAATTTCTGTTGTTTAAAGCCACCTGGTTGTGGGACTTGTCACAGCAGCCACAGGAAATGAATATGGACAAACACAAGTGCACATAAACAAACAGTGCCCACAGAAGCACACACAACATTGTACAAATGAACACACATACATGGTGACAAACCCAGTGCCACCCTTCTGGCTCAACACCATTCTCCGCACCCCTGGTACAGAGAACACTTCGTGCCTGGGAATGGACCCTGGCATGCCTGACTGCTGTGGGTCCAGGCTTTGCGGGGAAGGAGGCAGTGTGGGCAGTAGATGGACTCAGTGTGGGACCAGGTTGCTGGGACTATAACCCCACTCCACCCCATCGCTCTCCCAGCCTCCTTCCTCCAACCAGATCCTCCCTCTGCTTTGGCTTTCCATGGTCCGCAAAATTTCTCCCTTCTAGCTCCCCTGGCTCCTGCCACCTGTTCCTGGAAAACATTGCTGGAAAGAGCATTCCTCTTGCCTTGCTTTTGCAGACTGCTGCCTGTGATGCCCTGTTTGCAGCCGGGACTGGGGCTGTGCATCCTGCCGCGTGCAGGGCCAGTGGTGAGCCGGGGCCAGCTGTAAGCCAGGTGGGAGCTTTATCTCCCTGGTGCCCTCCCCTGTGATGGATTCCCAGAGGTCTTTCCCCAGAGTCTGGGATGCAGGATGCCAGCTTCTCCAAGTTCAAGGAGGGTGAAAGGGGCCCTGGAAATGCCCCTTCCTCTCTTGTTGATCTTTCTCTCTTTTTCCTTCCTCTCTCTCTTCCTCAGGTCCTCCCCCACTTCTTTTTTTCCAGTCATCCCTCCCTTCTTGCCTCTCATGCTCTCTCCCTACTTCCTCCATCCATCACATCTTCACTGAGCCCTAGTTAAGGAACTTGGTCTGAATCCTGGAACCCAAAGAGAGCACTGCTGTAACCCTAAAAGAACTCTCAGTCTAGCTTGCAGCTGGATCCAGACACATTACATTATATAAAATGCAACAGTATAACATAATGTATTATAATCTATAGTAGATTGTAACTGCACAGGGACATTATTTACTTTCTACCTTGAGTTTTTTTACTCAATTAACAAATATTTAATAAACTCCTACTACAAGCCAAGCAAGCTTTTCCTTTTTGGTATTATTTCAAAGTTTTTATCTTTGTTTTTAAAATTAGTGCCAAAAGAGAGAGGCATTATAACTTGTAAATGAAATTACGTATCGTATCTCTTTAGCTTAGTAGTTGGAGCTACTTAGTCTTTAGCTGCAAGACTATTATTCTAGTACCAAGGAAAAAATGTTACATGTGCCACGAGATTGTGGATTTTTAAAAAATAAAAGCAAGCAGTAAAAAGATGAATTCAAACATACTATAACATTATTACATGTGTTATATGATATATATATATATATATATATATATATATATATATATACCTGTATGTATATAACACACAGATATGAATACACATTCATCCTGGTAGTTCTCTGGAGAATTCTGACATCCACAAATCCAAAAGAAAAAGAAGGCTTATAAAAATGTCATCTTTCCATCTAAAGAGATGAGTTCCAGATCTCCGGATCCCTGGTGGTTTTTCCTTTGTGTAACTATTTCCACCAGGTCAGGCCCCCTGCAACTCATCGTTCTCTCTGATGATGTACATGTTCAGGTACCCTTATTGTAATGCAGAGGTCCCATCTCACAGGAGTTTTAGCATCTCTTACAAGCTCACACGGCCCACACCAATATGGAGAAAGTTCCTGGTGTCCTCCAGTTCCTACTCTGCTGAGTAGGTTTGTTGGGTGTAGACCATAGTCCCTGAGCTGCGTACCCTATAACTTCATAGCATGTGTGTCTTCACGACACTCCCCAAGGGCCTTGCTGCCAATGAGCAAATCCTGCAGCCGGGCTATCAGGATCCTTCACCTTTGCTGATGGACTTCCAAGGGTACTCAACCCTTCTCATGAGTGATCGCAATGCCCTAAGTCTTCTCCATAGAGAATAGCCCAAGGATCTGGCTTGAAAAAAATTCTGTCACGAAACAAATCACATAGAATGACAGGATGCCATTCCATGAGTCAGTTTTCTAGGGCTGCTGTAACAAAGCACATAAACCTAGTGACTTAAAACCACACACATCTATCCTCCTCTATGCTGGAGGCCAGAAGCCAAAATCAGGGTCACCAGCTGTGAGTCAAGGTGTGAACAGGGCTGCGTCCTTCAGGGGATCCAGGGGAGGTTCTGTCCCCTACTTTCCCAGCTGCCAGAGGCAGAGGCATTCCTTGGCTCAAGGTTCCTGACTCAGCTACTCCAATCCCTCCTTCCAGTGTCATATCACCTACTTCTCTCTGTGTCTGACCCCTCCTGCCCCCTTTTAGAAGGAC